AATTATTAGGTGAATTATGTCCATTTGTATTTATTTAAATGTTTAGTATTTTGTAGTTCTTCGATATTTAGGACTTTAAAAAATCCTTGTTCTATATATATTTATATGACATCCTTAGTCTTTTCTTTGTTTAAAAATTATGTATCAGAACCTTATTATGAGCAACAGTGAAATTAATTAGCTTTTAACTTTTCCTTTTTGCTCTCCTCACGCACCCATTTTCTTAAATTGGATTAGCTTTAAAGTATTTGCTACCATTATATTCAACATTATACTGGAAGTATCAGGTAGTGCAAAAAGATAAATTGAATGAATGGATAAATAAATAAAAGGCCTACAATTTGATTGAAAAATAAAAAAGCAAAGCCATCTTGATTTGCAGATAATCTAATTATGTATGTGGAAAATCCTTTAAAATCTACAAGATAGTTATTGCAATTAACAATCACATTTTTCAAGCTTACAATTTATAAGACCAATACAAATACAAAGACCAATACAATATAAATTAATTGTCCTTCTATAAAATAAAAATTAATATATAAGAAATAAATTTAAAAATTCAAATTTTAATAATGTAAAAAATAAACTATTTATAAATGCATTTAATAAAAGATATGTAAGGTCTGAACACCGAATTACAAAACATTGGTGACATTAAATTAAAGAAGACACACATAAATACATATAGTTTTCATAAATTAGAAGACTAAACTTTTTTGAAATGTCAGTTCTTCTCAAATTGATCTATAGATTTAATGGAGTCCTAGTCAAATTGATAGGCTGATTATAATAAATATATGAAAATAAAAATAATCTACAATAGCTGAAATAGCTTTGAAAAAGAATAACTTTGGGGAACTTTCACTATCTGATTCAAGACTCGCTATAATGATAAAATAATTAATGCAGTGTAGTACTGGTGTAATAGACAATATCTAAATGAAACAAAGTCAAGATTCCAGAAACAGACCTACATATATATGGTGAAGTGGTTTTTGACACAAGTATTAAGGTATTCCAGTAGGGGAAAGATACATTTTTAAATAAATATTACTGGAACAATTGGATATCTGTATGGTTAAAAAAAACCTTGGACTCAAAATCATATACAAAATTTAGCTTAAATGAATTATAGACCTATATGTAAGATGAAGATATAAAATCATGTGAAGAAAACATGGAAAAAAATTTTTGTCATATTGACTTTGACAAAGTTTCTTAAGCAGGACATAAAAAAAGCATAATCCGTAAAAGAAAAGAAAAAAAAAGACAAATAGACTTTTGTTCTTTTACAGACATGGTTTAGGAAACAAAATTGATTGCCGTACACTGAATAGAAGAAAATATTTGTAAATCATAAATTTAACAAAGGTCATGTATCCAAAAAATATAAAGAACAAATTTAATTCACTATCAAGAAAATAACATTTTTGACCTGGCACAGTGGCTCACGCCTGTAATCCTAGCATTTTGGGAGGCTGAGGTGGGCAGATTGCTTGAGGTCAGAAGTTCGAGACCAGCCTGGGAAACATGTCAAAACTCCACCTCTACTAAAAATACAAAAATTAGCCAGGCGTGGTGGCAAGTACCTGTAGTCCCAGCTACTCAGGAGGCTGAGGCAGGAGAATCGCTTGAACCCAGGACGCGGAGGTTTCAGTGAGCCAAGATCATGCCACTGCACTCCAGCCTGGGTGACAACAAGACTCCATCTCAAAAAAAAACAAAAAAATTAATAAGTAAACGATTTTAAGAGGTACTGTACCTCTTAAAATACACTTTCTTTATATATGTTTTATATTTTACACATTTTCCTTAACAAAACAAAATAAGTCTATGGCCAATTATAATATGAAAAAGTGTTCTATGTCATTAACCATGAGGAAATTAAAATTAAAACTACAATGATATATTCACTAGAATTGCTAAAATCTAAGAAATGGAAAATACTAGGTTTGGACAAAGATGAAGCAACTGCATTTCTCATACATTGCTGATGGGGATGCAAAATGTTGCAGCCATTTTGAAAAAAATTGACAATTAAATATCGGCATTATATGCACTTTTCATCAGAAGTCCCACTCCTAGATGTTTGCCCAAGATAAATTAAAAAATAGATCTACAGAAAGACTTTGTACTAGTCAAAATTCTTCAGAAAAACAGAAGCAATAGGATATATGTGTGTGTGTATGTGTGCCTGTTTTATGTATACATATATACATACATACACACACATGCATATGTAATAAGAAATTGGCTGAGAAGCACCAAGACCTGCAGTTAGCAAGACAGAGACCCAGAAGAGCCAATGGTGTTGTATTAGATTGAGTCTGAAGTACCGAGAACCAGGAGCACCAAGATTTTAAATTCCATTTGGAAAGCCAGCAGGCTTGAGACCCAAGGATAACCAATGTTTCAGCCATGGTTTGAAAGCCAGAAAAGAGTAATGTTGCAGCTCAAGCAGTTAAGCAGGCAGTGTTCCCTCTTGTTCTCAGAAAGGTTGGCCTTTTTTTTTTATTCTATTTAGGCCTTCGGTTGATGGGATGAGGACTCCCCCCACATTAGGGAGGGCAGTCTGCTTTACTGAGTCTACCATTCAAATGTTAATTTCATCCAGAAACACTCTCACAGACACACCCAGAATAATGTTTGACCAAGTAACTGGGCACCCGGTGGCCAAGTCAAGTTGACACATAAAATTAACCATAATAGGCTTATACACAAACTAGAAGGGGGGGAATTGTCCTAAAAGTGGTGATCGAATAAACAAATTGTGGTATATTTATACCATGGAACAAAACGACCAAAATAATGATATACACAAAAACATGAATGAATCTCAAAAACATGATGGTATGTTAGAAAGTGAAACATGAAAGACTGCATACTACACGATTCCATTTATATGAAATTCTAGAAAAAGCAAAACTATAGTGACAAAAAACTGATCAGTGGTTACCTGGGGTGGAGGATGAGAGGAGGAAATCTAATTCAGAGTCACTATGGAATTTTTGGGGTTTATTTAAAAGATCTAAATCATGTTTGTGGGAATGGCTACACAAATACATACAATCACCAAAACTCATCAAACTATACATTTAATATGTGTTGGTTTTATTTTATGTAAATTATTTCTCAAAAGTTAGGAAAAATGATGTTAATTATAACACTGTTAACAAGAGTAAAATAGAATATTTTATAATAGAGAAATGACTAAAGTTATGGCAATTCAACTGAATAAAAAATGATGCCCTCTTGAAAATTATAGGATTGAAAATGCAATCAGAACTGTACATGGTTGGTAGACTATGCTTGTATGTATTTTTAAAATTTCACATTTCTCTAGAGACTGAAAAGAGAACATGGCTATTTTTAAATATTGTTTTAAGGAAACAAAACATGTGTCTTAACAAAAGCAAAAATTGACAAATGGTATCTAATTAAAGAGCTTCTGCACAGCAAAAGAAACTATCAGAATGAACAGGCAACCTACAGAGTGGGAGAAAATCTTTGCAATCTATCCATCTGACAAAGGTCTAATATCCAGAATCTGCAAGGAATTCAAACACATTTACAAGAAAAAAACAAACAACCCCATTAAAAAGTGGGCAAAGGACAGGAACAGACACTTCTCAAAAGAACACATTCATGCAGCCAACAAACATATGAAAAAAAGCTCATCATCACTGATCATTAGAGAAATGTAAATCAAAACCACAATGAGATACCATCTGAAGTCAGTCAGAATGGCCATTATTAAAAAGTCAAGAAACAACAGATGCTGGTGAGGTTGTGGAGCAATAGGAACACTTTGACACTGTTGGTGGGGATGTAAATTTGTTCTACCATTGTGGAAGACAGTGTGGTGATTCCTCAAGGAGCTAAAACCAGAAATACAATTTGACCCAGCTATCCCATTACTGGGTTTATAGCCAAAGGAATATAAGTCATTCTATTACAGAGATATATGCACACATATGTTAACTACAACACTATTCACAATAGCAAGGACATGGAATCAATGCAAATGCCCATCGATGAAAGGCTGGATAAAGAAAACGTGGCACATATACACTATGGAATATTATGCAGCCATAAAAAGGAAGGAGATCATGTCCTTTGCAGGGACATGGATGAAGCTGGAAGCCATTATCCTCTGAAAACTAATGCAGGAACAGAAAACAAAGCTCCACATGTTCTCACTTGTAAGTGGGAGCTGAACAATGAGAACATGCGGACACAGGGAGGAGAACAACACACACTGCAGCCTGTCGGGGAGTGGGGTGGGAGGAGAGAGTATTAGAAAGGATGGCTAATGCATGCTGGCCTTAATACCTAGGTGATGGGCTGATAGGTGTAGTAAACCACTATGACATACCTTTACCTATGTAACAAACATGCACATCCCGCACATGTCCACCAGAACTAAAAACAAAAAAGGAGTAAATGTAATCCTAAAGCAAAATAAAATACTTGGGTATCACAAGTTTTACAGCTCAGAAATACATATAGTCTCAGTTTCCCGTTTTTAAAATTGAATGACACATTTCCTATGGGAGCTGATGGTAAGGCTTGGAAAGCCAGTGATATAGACACAGCGGCACATTAAACTCTTATAAAAGCGAAGATTTTATAAATATGAGCAAGTTGTAAACATATAAAGAAAAGGTTGTTTGCGTTATTTCTGATTATTGTTGTTTCATTTTGTGACAAGATTTACCTTTGTGTTTTTCAATTGCTTTGTATTTTTCATGAGTTATCATAGTTAATGGGAAAATGTATCTGACACAAACTAATATTCAAGTACTTTTATTAGGCAAACTATTATTTGTAATGCCTTCACAGTTCTACATTTTAGTTAGATTCTTCCTGTGCCTAAATCATTCTCTGTTAATGACTTAGGCACTAGAGGCACATTAAAGCTTTTTAACCACTAAGTAATCACAGGTCTTTTAGGAAATTGCTGCCGCCATGCATAATTTGCTACCCATGCCACTCACCTGTGTCAGTAGCAATTAGAGATTTCCCCACTGATTCCACACCGTCCTGAAAGAGTTAATGGACCTCTGCAACAGTGCAACTTCCTAACAGGATAAAATAAATTGTTTCAGTGCAAGTCTAATCAGATTTCTTAATAAAGATAATAAGCTAACCAAGTCATTGGATTTTAGTTTGTCCAATACTGATGAAGGGAGAACATAACAAATTTAAGTTTAAGGTTATGCAATGTGTAGTTCAAACATATGTGACAATAATAATGTTAAAAGCTCTGAGAAAGAAAAGCAAAAATATTTATATCCATTCTGAAGAAAGGACTATCATTAATTTAGCATTAGTCATCTCTGAAAGTCTGATGTACTTGTAGCTAAAGTTATTGAAGCGGAAATGACCTGGGAGCATGAATACTTAGTTTTTATTATGACATAGCTTGACGCGGTGATACCCCCAAGCTCTTTTCCTGGGCCACTTTCTTTTGCATCAATAACTTCCCCTCATGCATTATTTATTTAGTTTTTATTTAACTGACACTTATTGTGCTATGTACTGTTCTGCGTTTTTGACAAGTATTAAAACATTACTCCTTATGATAACCCTATGAAGTGGGTATTACTGATTTCTGTTTTACAGATGAGAAAGCAGAGATCCTGAGGCATAAGTAACTTTCTCAAACTTGTAAGTCTGGATCCTGAATCTGTGCTCTTAACCATTGAGTTAAAGTGCCATGACGGTTTATTAGTTTTTCCAAATTCCACCACAGATTTCAAGAATAGATCTACTCTCAGTTACCCCCCCATTTTTTTTTTTTTTTTGAGATGGAGTCTCGCTCTGTCACCCAGGCTGGAGTGCAGTGGCGAAATCTCAGCTCACTGCAAGCTCCGCCTCCTGGGTTCATGCCATTCTCCTGCCTCAGCCTCCTGCCACCAGCCCAGCTAATTTTTTGTATTTTTAGTAGAGACGAGGTTTTACCGTGTTAGCCAGGATGGTCTCGATCTCCTGACCTCGTGATCCACTCGCCTCGGCCTCCCAGGGATTACAGGCGTGAGCCACCGTGCCTGGCCTACTCTCAGTTACCTTTGACTTCCATTTCCACTCAAATATTATTTTCCCTACAAATTATTGTACACTATATCTTGTGAAGAGAAAAATATTAGTGTCATAGTAAAACCATTTTAAGTCCCCAACACACGGATGAGAAGCTATTTTCTGAAAATTATGTCTGAACCCGGAACTACTTGCCTTTAACTAAAAATAATAATAATAATAATAATAATAAATCCATGTGGTTTCTACTTTAAACATGTTTTATAAGGTGGCTGCAGGGTTCTTACTCAAAAGACTGAGGTAATATGGCCTTAAACCTGACAGAATCCAGGGCACTGACATTTGCAACTACTTCAAATTTTGGAAGAGTAAGGAAAATGGGGAGGCTAGAAAGACCTGTCAATATAGTCAATCTCAGAAAACATGATTTTCTCAAATATCTGTATTCTCGTTGCTGTAACTTTTGCAATCACTGTAGTTTACAGCACCTTCTGTAATGTAATGTTGGCTGCCATAGAAGTACTCCACCAAAATAGAATGCCTCCTAAATCTTAGTGGTGTTAAAATGTAGTCATTTTATACAATGGGAATAAACATTTCTCTATTAAACTAAGCATATTTAGAGAAAAGTTTTTGAAGTTAAATAATGGTTGGGAAAGAAATTGCTAGGAATATTTTCTTTTCCTTATTATGATACACGAACAGGAAAAAGATGTTTTAGGTGCATTTTTAGAACAATCTCAAGTTAAAAAAAAAACACACACACACACACACAATGAATTACCATACATTTAGAATCTGGTTTGGTAAAATCAAGGGTTAACAGTAATTCTAACCACTTGATTTCTTAGACTGTTCTATCGTTTTAGGTGTTTAATGAATGAGAAGCAGAATTAGTGTTATTTGAGAAACCATTAAAAATCATTTTGCATTTTCCTCTCTTTTTTTCTATTATAAAATGATTCTATTACTGTTAGCAGAGCCTGGAATAGGGGTTGGCAAAGCTGAAGATGTTTATCAGGAATAGCTAGGATAATTAAGATCAAGTGGATGACTTAACATTTCCTACCATGGAAAAACAGAAGAAATCTAAAGGAGAGTTGTACATGCTTCTACAACCACCATCTACCATTCTACCTGTATAAGGGTCATATTTCACCCTAAATTCTATTAAAATGGATGACCTTTTTCTTTTTTGATCAAATGATGATCTCTCTACTTGTATATTGGATCCTCTCAAGGCTTGCCTACTCAAGAATTTAATTTCTGATATTACCCTCTTTTCTCTTAATATCAGTGGCCAGCAAACTAAGGTGCACAACCCAACCCTGCCTTTCATCTGTTAGTAAATCAAGTTTCATTTGAACACAGCCATGCCCATTAATTTACATGTTACATATGGTTGCACTTATGATAGAGCTCATACGGCTGACAAAGTTTATAATATTTAATATCTGTCCCTTTAGAGAACATGTTTGCCAACTGATGTCCTACATCTTCCATTTTCTTTTCCCTTGGTTAGATAACTTCTGCCAGCAAATAAACATTGTGTATTGTTACTTTTAACATTAATACCTTTTTTACCCCAGTTATCTCCTTCAATTACTGCCCCATTACTCTGTTCCCCTTTACAGAAAATCTCCTCAAAAGGTTTGTGTATGTCCTAGATATTTCTGCCTCTTATTACCTATTTTTTTCTTGAATCTCCTGAAGAGTTTCTTTCAACTACTTCATACACACTGCTCTTTTAAGGTAATCAATAATGTACATTAATCCAATTTTACCAGCCAATTTTCAGTCCTCATCTTATTTCATTCATTAACAACATTTGGCAGTATTCTAATCCAATTTTCTTGAAGCATTTATTTGATTCTCCTCATACCTTCCAAGTCCATTATTTTATTCTCAGTCTTCTTTCCTTGTTTCTTCTTATTTTCCTGGCTCCTAAAGCTGTGAAATGTCTCATTTCAGTCCTCAGACTTTGTTCTTCTTTACATAAAATTATTCCCTTCATAGTTTAATCCAGTATAATTCACTCAGATGCCATACATTCTATACACTGGTGATTACCAAAATTCTCTTTCCAACTCAGACCTCTTCCTCAAATTCTGTACACCGGTCTGCCTCAGCATACCTACCTGGATCATAAATACGGATTTCACTGTTAATAAATTCAACACAGACTCCTTACACATATTTTCTGATGGGTCCACTTTACTGAGGCTCATGCCTTTGCTCAATCCCAAGTGAATACAGTCTATCTCTACAGAAACAGATAATTATCTATTTTAAAGCTTCCACTTGCGGTTTCTGCTTCCATTTTGGAGGAGTAAGCGCCTAACATATTGATCCTCCCACAAATATCAGCTATAAACATTAGACAAAAATAAACAAACTCAAATACCTGGGGCTCTAGAAACTGTACAAATAAAAACATTTTTAGAAGGGACCAAGTGACCAGCACCGTGTGAATATCCTGTATTTTTACAGTTTTACCTGAGAGTAGCTGCAGTCACAGAGGCATGGAAGCAGCTAAAACGCTAATGGTAAACTAGAAATGTTTCTGGTAGTCGAGTGAACACAGAACCCTGGAAAGAAAATAATCAAGAGAAACTCTAAATTTTGTGTTTAAACTCACTTCAGGCTGGGCACGGTGGCTCATGCCTGTAATCCTAGCACTTTGGGAGGCCGAAGTGGGTGGATCACGAGGTCAGGAGATGGAGACCATCCTGGCTAACATGGTAAAACCCCATCTCTACTAAAAATAAAAAAAAATAAAAAAAAAAAAAAAATTAGCTGGGCGTGGTGGTGTGCACCACTTTTCAACCCATTTTATGAGGCCAGCATTACTCTAATACTAAAATCACAAAATGATATTATTTAAAAAACTGCAGATCAGTATTCCTTTTTAATTATTTTCTTTATTCTTTATTCATTTAAATCAATTTTATTGTGTATATTTGAGGCTTAGAACATGTTGTGGGATACAAATAGTAAAGTGGTTACTATAGTGAAGCGAGTTAGCATATCCATCATCTCACATAGTTACTTTTGTGTGACAAGAGGCATATATATATATACACACATAAGCACTTTTAAACTGAAGAACAAAGCCAAATATACACACACACACATATACACACACACACATACACACACACACACACCCCTACAGATGTAGTGGAAAATTATTCACCCATAAAAAGGAAGAAAATTCTGCTATTTGTCCCAACATAGAAAGACCTGAAGGACATTATATTAAGTGAAATGAGCCAGACACAGAATGAAAAATATTGCGTGGTCTCACTTACATGTTGCATGGTCCAAATATTACTGAATCTAAGTCCACCATATATAAAATAATAATACACTCTGACTAAAGAGGGTTTATCTACAGAATTCCAGTTTTGTTTAATACTGAAGTAATCAGTTAATGTAATTAGCAAACCATATTAAGAGAACAAATGGAAAAATAATTGTCTTTTTTATTATTTTCAATTTTTATATTTTTAATTTTTGTGGGTACATAGTATGTGTATATTTTGTCATTTTATGAGATGCAGAAAAATCATTTTACAAAATCAGATAGCCATTCATGATAAAAATATTCATCAAACTAGTAATAGAAGACAACTTCCTCAATTTGATAATGAGCATCTACAAACAATGAAAATCCTACAGCTAACATCATACTTAATGGTGAAAGAGTAAATCTTTTCTTCTAAGGTCAGAAACAAGACAATGTCCCCTTTCAACACTTCTCTTAAACTCTGTGTTGGAGGCCCTAGCCATAGCAATGAAGGAAGGAAAAAAATGAAACTGATAAAAATGTTAAAGGAAGAAGTAAAACTATATACACATGCAGAGGAAATAATTGTTAAAATAGGAGAATGCTGAGGAATCTGCATATAAATTCTAGAAAAAAATAGGTGACTTTATCATGGTCAGAGACTAGATTAATATACAAAAATGAATAAAATATTAGTTTGTGTTTACAATAGTACCTAAAATCACCAAGTACTTATGATTAAATTTAACAAAA